TCTCACACCAGCCCTTTACCTTCGAGTGGCAGTGGGCATGCAGCATCATGCTTACATATTCTCTGCTTTAATGCAATTTCTCACATTTAAATAGAGGACGTGTGTTTCAAGTGGATTAGGGCCTGTTTGCTTGTAACGCACAGCAAAAACTTTTGCAACAGATTATAGCAAACATGTAGTTTAGGTTTGGAATTTACAAGAAAGGCAGCTTGTCATTCAACAAGGGGGATTCCCACTTTGAAATGTTGGTGTTGGTCCATGAACCACTCCTGATTTATTACTATAAATATAAGTAATGATTTACAGTATTCTGGCTGGCTGGATTGCTCAGTGCGTTAGGTGTTTGGCTGCAGAGCCAGAGGTTGAGAGTTCAATTTCTCACTGTGTACCCAGAAAAGAGCCAGCCTGCGTGGCCTTGGGCAAGCTGGGCAATCCCAGGATGCCCCCAGAAGAAAGGAATGGTAAACCACTTCTGAGTACTCTCTACCGAGAAACTGCTGAAAAGGGTGTCCCAAGTCAAAACTGCCCTGACAACACATAGTTATTATTAGACATGGGAGCTTCGTATTCAGATTAAGGGGATACAAATATGAAGCATGGTACCACAGGTGCCATGGCAGTCCATTCCTGCCCCCAGAACCAGCCCAGTCCACTCACTGGCGTCCATGTGGCATACATGTCTGTCAACATCATTGTTGCACCAAGGGTGGCCCATGTCAAAACTGCCCTGACAACACATAGTTATTATTAGACATGGGAGCTTCGTATTCAGATTAAGGGGATACAAATATGAAGCATGGTACCACAGGTGCCATGGCAGTCCATTCCTGCCCCCAGAACCAGCCCAGTCCACTCACTGGCGTCCATGTGGCATACATGTCTGTCAACATCATTGTTGCACCAATGACTGTAGTTCTGCTGGTACTTCCCCACCTCCTCCCACATTCAGCCACTCCAGCGAGGAGGCAGGAAGGCAAGTCTTCCCGCTCAGCTGCTGACTGGTTGGCTGTGGGGAGAGGAGGGGAAGCGCCCATGGGACTACTTCTGCAATTGGTGCAACAAAGATGCTGATGGACACACACAACACATGGAACCCAGTGAGTGGACCGGGCTGGTTCTGGCAGGTGGGAATAGACCACCGTGGCACCTGTGGTGTGGCACTTCCATATTCATATTCCCTGGACACAAATACGAAACATTCATGTCTAATTATTATTTATTAATGATTCAATATACTAATGAGCTATATATGTAACTGAGAATTTTATCTATCCATATATAGTAAATATGTGTGTGTGTGTGTGTGTGTGTGTGTGTGCACACACACATACACACATGCATGTGCACACATGTGCGCACACACGCACAC